GTGATTCCTAACGTTAATTCTCTCAATATCAAAGCTGTTTCCTGTATTTGGCAGCACAGTTACTATGTATGGTAAACGTACCACAGGGTGATTCCTAACGTTAATTCTCTCAATATCAAAGCTGTTTCCTGTATTTGGCAGCACAGTTACTATGTATGGTAAACGTACCACAGGGTGATTCCTAACGTTAATTCTCTCAGTATCAAAAATATTTTACTAAGATTACGTGTTTTTTTTTGTTGTTGTTTTGTTGGCGATGGCGTTATTAAATTTGAAAATCATAGGAACTAATAGCAGGAAATAACATTAGGTTCATATACGATATCTCACCCCATTATGTAACGTTTTTAATTCTGCAAAACATTGGCAACATTTCCTTCTAGATACATATTATTTACCACCAGAGGACAGTAAGCGCAACGTTCTTATAGTGTATTCAAGATGCAAGCACTCTCCGTATTATAGTTAAGTCAAAGTAAAAGCTCTAGTTAAGCTCTCCGAACTTCGAGAAATAATTAAGTTGTGTCTTTTTATAACAGATTTAATATACACGTTATTGGCTGTCACGTGACTACCTCAGGAATTGGGAACGTGCTTTAGATAGCACTTAAATAAAGTAGCGCGGTAAAAGGTCTATCAAGTTTCCCCTCTTGGAGGAAACTCGGGTTTTGTTTTAAAGCTGCATTTACTTTCATTTGATTGTCCTTTTTTGTTATTTCTTCAAATTTTCCATGTCTTTCAATCATTGCATGTCCGTCACAGTTTTTTTTTTTTGTAAAACTGGAAACCATGATATTTTCTGGTTATTTTTAGGGAAAGTTTCGGTGATATTACTTTCTCCTCTCTCTTATGAGGCCACACAAGTTTTATTTTAAATAAATTCGTTCTGATATCACAGGTGGTTTAAAATCTTTCCACAATAACATAGTAATCAAAACTGTTTTCTGTTTCCCGTGACTTTTGTTGGAGCAAGTTAAAAACAACTTACGCCATACAAAAAGGTTAAACTTTGGCCATAAATAAGCGCGTGCGCTTCTTTACGTTGTATATATTATAAGAATATTTTAAAGGTACTTTTGTTTGCTGAAAGGAGTTTGTCTATACCTAATACTCGTTCAGAGAAAGTCACGAAATCTCAATTACGTAATAACTTCCACCAGAAGAGCTGCTAAAACTCTACAAAATTAATTACAATTAATAATTAATAGTCTTAATTATGAGTAACAGACAAACTACTATGGGAGTTTTGATTTGTTTAAGCGCAAAGATGCGCCGTGCCCACCGTAGGGGTCGAACCCCGCGTTTTAGCGTTGTAAGCTCATTTTATCTCCGAGCCACGTTTAATCAAAAAGGGAAGAATCTCTTCGACAGAATGAAAACGTTTAAATAAAACATTACCAACGCGTTATCCAGACTTTTATCCTCTTATATCAACAGACTTGTCAAAATAAGGAACTGACAGAGAACTTTCGAACCATCTTATGATGACATACAAGAAATTAGATCTTCACGATGAAGAGCTGGAAGTCAGAATTAATCCCGTCCTTCACACAGCTACAAGATAATCAAATATAAAAGTTCGTTCTTTTTTCATCTCGTTGTACACTGTCTTGGTATTCGTTATCGTTCTTTTTTCATCTCGTTGTACACTGTCTTGGTATTCTTTATCGTTCTTTTTTCATCTCGCTGTACACTGTCTTGGTATTCGTTATCGTTCTTTTTTTATCTCGTTGTACACTGTCTTGGTATTCGTTAACGTTCTTTTTTCATCTCGTTGTACACTGTCTTGGTATTCGTTAAAAAAAGAACGACATCTCGTTGTAACGGCTTACTTTCTTTTTTTCAAGTCACTTGTAAAATCTCTCTTTCTTTTCTCGTGTGCATTGTTTGATTTTAAATCATTTAAAACATTAAAAAATTGGTTCTTAAAATTTTAATCATCTTCCTTAAGAGTAAAATATTAAAAATATATTTTCAATCGATTTTCTTGCACTTTGTTGTGGAAGGGAATGATTTATTGTTTCTTAAATCATCTATAAAGGAGGACTGGTAAAGATCAGTGACCGAAAGTCAGTATTAGGGTTAGTATTCATGTAATATCTTATTGAAATATTTAGAAAAACATTACTTGTTTGTCACTAATTTCGGTCAATGGGTTCAACAGAAACAAAATAGCGGCCTATGTCAAAACTACTAAAGATATTTTCCACCATCCCTAGTTTCCAACTACTGACCAGAGTGAAGACAGATAGCAAGTCAGCAGCACGCTACTACCCACTATCCACTCTAAGGTATTGGCTGTCATTCTTATAACTCGGCCCATCAGCTCCGAAATCCAGTGCTCTACTAGAGGGCTTATCCGCACCCTAGTTTGTCCAGATTGGTGGCTGTTGTCTACAAAAAGTATTTTTGCATACACAAAAAAACTTGATTATAGAAAGCCATTTTGATATTTTTGACCATTGTAACTTAAGAGAATATCACGTAGAACATGATTCTTTTATGAATACGCAGACCTTTTGCAGTATAATTTCTATTAAAAAAATAGTTCCGTGGAATTGACACTATGGTGCATAATGTAGATTCAACCTCATTGTCTTTATTATTATTAGAAATAAGCCCGTAAAAAGTCAAACTGTTCAAATAGAATTATAATCTACATGAAATTATCTTAAGAGTTAGAGTGGCCAAACCTACGAAGATGACTTTTTATAACGGTCTTATTTGCTTGTTTGTTTTTAATTATGCACAAAGCTACACAAGGGCTATCTGTGCTCTGCCCACCACGGGTATCGAAACCTGGTTTCAAGCGTTGTAAGTCCGCAGACACACCGCTGTGCTACTGGGGGGGGGGCTTCTTATTTGCACATTACAAATAAAAATAATTTTTTGTACACAACACCTACCTCTCTGGACAAAATGTAAACGGCCGCCATTTTGTTTCTGTTGATCGCTTGGACTTGAAATTGGTTTTAAAAAAATTTAGTTATTCTCTTAGTATTCCAAGGAAGACACTACTTGAATGTTAGTTATGATACTGATTTTGGTCTGTCCTTTATGTAAGTTGAAAAAATATATATGAATTTTTTTTTAAGTTGGATTTTATCTTTCTCACAATTTAATTTTATTTTCGCAGGAGCAGAACTAGATTCTATCCGGGCACTTTTTAATGAGAAAGAGAAAGAACTGTCGTTAGCAGTGGCAAAGGTGGAGAACCTCACGCGGCAGCTGGAGGAACTACGTCGAGGTAATCTCAACGGGCTCAAGACCAGTAATAACAACGCTTCTCTGCCTGCTGTCTTGGAGGTGGAAAAACTAAAACAGGAGTTAGTGGTGAGTGTATTTCCAGTAACAACTTCCGTTTGAAGCGCAGCATATTCTTCGTACATCATCACAAACACTACTAGTGTTTCAGTGGTACCTTAAGTTCTTTGTAAACTTGAGCAGAGATTCGTACTCCCCCACAGTAATAATAATGTTATTGGACCTCTTACTTCTGTTTAACCGAAAATTTTACTCGAACAGCCGTAATACTGTGCGCGAATACTTGAATGTCTGTTTGCTTTGGAGCAAAGCCACATCAAGCTATCTGCTGTGTCCATCGCGGGTTTTAGTGTCATAAGTTCGTAGACTTACCGCTGTCCCATTGGGGGACTCGAATGTCTGTTTGTTTTGGAACAAAGCCACATCGGGCTATCTGCCGTGTCCATCGCGGGGAATCGAACCCCGGATTTTAGTGTCACAAGTTCGCAGACTTACCGCTGTCCCATTGGGGGACTCGAATGTCTGTTTTACAGACTTGATCTCAGTCCACAGTTGCTTGCCCTCGGAAACGTATATCTGTTTAAAGGACGTACTCTAACGTATCTTTCGGTTCGTATTTCTATTTAACAAACCTAACCTCAACCACGAAACTAATGGCTCGGCCTCGTCTTAATGGTTTCATAAACTTGATCTCAACCACGACACTAATGGCTCAGCCTCGTCTCACACGCGTAATAAACCTGATCTCAACCACGAAACTAATGGCTCGGCCTTGTCTTAATGGTTTCATAAACTTGATCTCAACCACGACACTAATGACTGAGCCTTGTCTCGGTAATACAGTAAACCTGACCTCAGCCACAATACTAATGGCTCAGCCTCGTCTCACACGCGTAATAAACCTGATCTCAACCATGAAACTAATGGCTTAGCCCCGTCTGACAAGTTTATAAACGTAGCCTCAAACACGACACTAATGGTTTAGGGTCTCACAAGTTTAATAAGCCTGACCTTAACCACAACTCTAATGGCTAAGCCTCGTCTGTTGATTTACAAACTTTTCCTCAACCATAATGCTAATAAGCACTTAGCCACAGCGTATAATTTTGGAAATATTAAAATTGTTTCAAATACTTGAAAATCCGAACGAACCATGGGGTTTAAACAACACTTCATCATTGGGCAAGGTTCTGAGCTGCCTTCTTCACCTCACCCGCAGGTCATTCTCATCTCCTCATCGACCGGTCTTCTTCTTCAAGTCTTTTCCAAACGGCTTACTTTTCTTGTGTCCCCGTGGGTACCACTTGAGAGCTTGTCTGATGGTGATGTCCTGAGGGTATCTCTAATCCAGCCCCATTTCCTTTTGGCTGTTTGGGTGATATTTAGATCTTGGTTGGTTGGTCTCTGCCAAAGATCGTTGTTATTAATGGTTTCTGGCCACTTAATTCGCATTATATTCATTTGACATTTGTTGGCGAAAGTTGTTGAATGTGGTGGTGTTTATTCTCCGTATTTCAGAACCATATAGTAGGACTGGTTTGACGTTACTATTGAAAATCCTGAATTTGTTTCTTGTGGAGAAAACCTCAGAGTTCTCAACAGACTTTAGGGTGTTGAAGTCATAGCCAGCTTTCCCAATGCTTGTTTTTATGTCTTCGTCTGTGCCTTATGTGACGTGGACAATTCTGCTCAGTTAAATGAATTTTTTAGTTGTTTCTATTCTACGTGATGGCCGCCTCTTCTTACTGTGGACCTTCATTATTTATGTTTTTCCCGTGTGCACCACAAGTCCTGTCTGTTTGTGTTTGCAAGTATTGCCTATTATGTGACACAAAACACAGGTCGTCTGCGAAGTCTAGGTTTTCAAGGGACTGTCTCAGTGACTACTGTATTCCAGTCCTGCCTTGCTTCACTGTTTCACACATAATCCAGTCAATCACCAACAAGAAAAACGTTGGTGATAGAAGGCAGCCTTGTCTCACTACAGTCTGGATTTGGAAGGCCTCAGTTAGCTTTCCATTATGAATAACCCGGCAAGCTGTGCCTTCTTACAGCTGCTGAATAAGGTTGGAAAACACTGACGGCACACCATAATATTATAATAGTTACCAGATGAATATTTATTTATTTATATATTATTTATGCAAGTCAACTTGTAACGAAAGACCAGAATTATAAGTTTCCAATAATTATCGCTCCTATCATTTTTACTTGGAGTGCTTAAAGAAAAACCAAGAAACATAACATCATGAATAATGACTTAATTCTCAGAGCTACAATCACCAGATTCTAATTGGATTTTCAGTTTCATATTTTGTGAAGTGCGCTGGTTTCAATTTTAGTGAAGCGTCGATAAGAATTAAACAAGGAATCCCAAAAAACAACCTAGAAAACTATGACATAATGTCATTTTAGTAACCATTGATTGGAAGCCACGAGCTCAAGATTCAGAAAGGTGTTGTTAACTTGAAGCGTTTTGGGATATGTATTTGAAATAATACCTTGCAGTTTGAAATGTTTAAAGCCACGAGCCCAAGGTTGAGAAAGGTATTGTTTAATTGAGGCATTGTGGGAAATGTTTTGAAATGATCTATTGCAGTTTTAAGTATTTTTTGTTTTTTTTCTTAGTGGGGGAGGTAGTGTCCGTTACTGGAGGTTCTTAGTCACTTCAATACCATTCCGTGTCGAATGTGTGTGTGTGTGTGTTATTTCATAGCAAAGCCACATCAGGCTATCTACTGTGTCCACCAAGGGAAATCAAACCCCTGGTTTTAGCGTTGTAAATCCATAGACTTACCGCTGTCCCACCGGAGGACACGTCCATGGCTTTAAACGCATTATTCAGCACATATGGTAATAAAAAGACAATTTTAACATTTCATTATTAAACAAGCGATTTCAGTCGGGTCATAGAAAAACACTATGCTAGTCATGTTTGCAGTATTAACCCTAGAAGTTCCGATGGATCTTGTCAATTTGCTAAGCACATTTATTCAAAAAAAGTAGTTCGTAGATATTGGTTACAGAATCGCTGATAACACGAGTCACATTAAAAAAAATATATTAAACTCGGCAGTAACAAGTCATTAACCCAGCAGTGTAATGTTAAGACCGAAATATTGTTTGGTTTAGTAACGTTTGTGTGACAAATGGTAGAAAAGTAGTACACAAATGTTCACACGAAGATTTTAAACATGTTTTTTTTGCGATTCGTTTTTAACTGTTAGTTTAACTTTGGATACACATAATTGTGATGTTCACTACTTTGAAACTATAAAAAAACGTTTCATTAAAATTCAACCTTTATCCTTTCCTTGCGCGAAAATTTAACACCAAAACATTTATAACTTTCGCTAAAAGATTGTTTCAAACATGGGCGTCAGTGCCGAAATAAGGGCGCTCCCTTCATCTCTGGCTCAGCAGTATTTCTGAGAACTCATGACATTAAAATCCGGGTTTCGATACCCGTGGTAGGCAGAGCACAGATGGCCTGTTTTGTAGCTTTGCTCTTAACAGCAAACAATCAAATAACTAAAATGAGACTTAATCTGTTCTGTGTATGTATGCATAAAGAAAATACCATAAAAACAGCGTTAAAGGCTTTCTTGCCTCGCTAATGATGCCAGATTTTTCACGTTAATGTGTTTCAAACACGCCCTGCCCATCTCATGTTCTTCCTTAAAATAAGTGAACAATTTAATACGAGGGTGAAAGGAATAGTCCTTTTTGTATGTGCAAGATGACATTAAACATTGTTTGTAATCCTAAAAAAAGTTTATTACTTTTTAACGAATACCTGTTTTACCGGTTAGAATATATTCTGCTTTCTTGTCGTCGTACACGACACCATCTTCATTGGCCTGAGAACTGTAAACATTGTCGTCCTCGTGAAAATTGGTTAAAAAAAACTACTGCGAAGCTACGCAAGATAAGTTCCATTTTTAACCATAAAAAGGTGGATGTTTGTGTTTAGTTGTATTAGCTGTATCTTTAACCATAAAAAGGTGGATGTTTGTGTTTAGTTGTATTAGCTGTATCTTTAACCATAAAAAGGTGGACGTTTGTGTTTAGTTGTATTAGCTGTATTTTAACCATAAAAAGATGGATGTTTGTGTTTAGTTGTATTAGCTGTATTTTTAACCATAAAAAGATGGATGTTTGTGTTTAGTTGTATTAGCTGTATTTTTAACCATAAAAAGATGGATGTTTGTGTTTAGTTGTATTAGCTGTATTTTTAACCATAAAAAGATGGATGTTTGTATTTAGTTGTATTAGCTGTATTTTTAACCATAAAAAGATGGATGTTTGTGTTAGCTGTCTTAAGTGAAAATGTCTTCTTTGAAACAGTTGAGTAGTTATCATTGAAACGCTGTGCAGTTTCTCTCTTTAAACATCAACTAGTCATCCGGCTAAACTCAGCATAAAAGTCATTTCCGAAAATTTTACTCACTTGTATTATGTGTCTCTGTGTTATTGCCAGTAACACACCACACGACCGTGTACGTTGTCTTCCTTGTGGTTCATCATAATACACCACGTAACTATGTATATTGTGTACCTCATGGTTCATCATAATACATCATGTGACTATCTACGTTGTCTTCCTCATGTTTCATCATAACACGCCATGTGACTATGCATAATGTTTTCTTCATGGTTCATCATAACACACCATGTGACTGTGTATGTTGTTTTTCTTATGGTTCATCATAACACACCATATAACTGTGTATACTGTCTTTCTTATGGTTCATCATAACACACCATATAACTGTGTATACTGTCTTTCTTATGGTTCATCATAACACACCATATGACTATGTATACTGTCTTTCTTATGGTTCATTATAACACACTATATGACTGTGTATATTGTTTTCCTCATGGTTCATCATAACAGAACATTTGACTGTGTATGCTGTCTTTCTTATGGTTCATCATAACACAACATTTGAGTGTTATACTGTCTTTCTTATGGTTCATCATAACACACCATGTGATTGTGTATACAGTCTTCCTTATGGTTCATTATAACACACTATATGACTGTGTATATTGTTTTCCTCATGGTTCATCATAACACACCACGTGACTGTGTATGCTGTCTTCCTCATGGTTCATTATAACACACTATATGACTGTGTATATTGTTTTCCTCATGGTTCATCATAACACAACATGTGAGTGTATTTGTTGTCTTCCAATCTAACGGCTTCACTTAATTCTTGGGCTTTTGTATCTTCACAGTTACTAAAACTGATGGTAAAGTTTTACTTAAACAACAACTGTTTTATCGGTTTTCTCAGACTCTGCAGGTTACATTATGACAACAACACTAACATTACTGGTACCACAGAATGATACCCCCTCCATTGGAAGACCTTGGTATCTATCTAAAAAACATGTTGTGAGTTCAAATGCATTACCCCACCTTTGAGGAAATGTTTGCTTGTATGTTATATTTCAAATTGTTTGTTTTTGTGTAATTGAGAACAAAGCTACACAATGGGCCGTCTGTGCTCTGCCCACCACGGGCATCGAAACCCGGATTCTAGTGTTGTTAATGAATTGATTACTGTAAACATTATATAAGTGCATCAAGATGGCCAATTTTAAAATATAAAATTGAACATCAAAAGGGAATTTAAATAGTTGAATCAAAATTCCAAATGAAGATCAAAAGGAGATCTGGAAATTAACTTAGATATTAAAGTGACACTATAAAAGAGATCTCGACAATTTAATAAAATACCAAACTAGAAATTAAAGGAATCTCAAGAATGAAATAAAATCAGTTTGAAGATCATTAAAGGTGCCTGGGAAACTAAATAGCAAATCAAACTGAAGATCAAAAGGGGATCTGGGAACTTAAATAGTAAATCAAACTGAAGATAAAAAAGGGATCTGGGAACTAAATAGCAAATCAAACTGAAGATCAAAAGGGAATCTGGGAACTTAAATAGTAATTCAAACTGAAGATCAAAAGGGGATCTGGGAACTTAAATAGTAAATCAAACTGAAGATCAAAAGGGGATCTGGGAACTTAAATAGTAAATCAAACTGAAGATCAAAAGGGGATCATGTAAATGCGGAAGACAAGTGTGAATCACGTCTTATCTGTCAGTATGTCTAGAAGTTTATTCTACAGAGAACATTTGTCCAGTGAAAGAAAACATACAAAAAATGATGTTCAAAAGGAAAGAAAAGGCTGATTCAATAGATATTTAAAGAAATCGAAGACAAACTATATACATATATTTTAATATAATCGTTCATTTTATTTACGATCTTTTACTTTAAAACCCTAAAAAAGTGGTTGCTTTTTGTCAGAAGTTTTAGTGTGAAGGACAGAAAACGAGCGGTAATACAACTAATTTTTATGACACTAAAGTTATCCCACGCTCGTGGAACGTAAACCTTGTTCCTAGTCGCACTGGATAAAAGTATTTTAATTTTTCATTCAATTTCAGTATATTTGCATGTTCATTCGGAAATCGTAAACGCCAAAGCTTCGTGATTTTATATGATAAAAATATTTACAGTTTAAAAGTTATGCTGTTAAAATATTATTATTGTTTTCTCTTTCTAGTATCGAACAAAACTTAATGAACAGCAAAATGAAAGAATTGCACACCAGAGGGAGACTTTGGCAAAACGTCAGGAAGATATTTCAGGAATGGACCAACGAATTGCCGAATTACAGCAACGTCTCCACCGGAAGCGGATGTTGAACCAACAGATGTCTAACAAGATTCATGCGGCAACTGTAGCCAAGCAAGCGTATGTAAGAACTGGGTCAACGAAGATACACCCACGACCTCCCAATACCAAAATCGTTGCGGTGGAACCTTTAAAACAGGCATCCGTGGAACCGGATAGGGTTCAAGACGACCTAGATGCTCCGTTAGGGGGCGTAAAAGGCATCCAAGAACTGAGTGAATTTGCTAGCAATAAAAATGACCCAAAATATCAAACACTGCCATACAATACTAAGTTTACCGTAAAAAATTGGAAAGATGACACTAGCTCTGAGGAGAATGGAGAGGGACCCAAGTCGACAGAAGAAGAGACTGTGCAGCAATCTGTCACAGCTTCTTCTAACACTAAGCAGCAGCTAGCCATGAAACCCACTGTAATCCTACCACCTCCTGGAAAGCTCTCCCCTCTCCCCCTTCACGCTAGCCATTTAGGCCTAAGGCCTAACGGTTCTATCCCCGGTACGCTTTCTACTTCTACAGGACGTCTTAGTGGTAATGTCATAGTTCAAGGACAGCCCAGTAGTAACAATGTAAGTAAATTATAATTTTCGTTTGGAAATATATCGTAAGTAATTTTATAAAACGGTAGAGTAGATCTAGAATATTTTTTAACGCAATTCTTTCTTTCGTATTTAAATCTTAGATTTGAAATGGAGTGCCATGTCTGTAAAATCTCTGAGTAAAGAGAAATATATATGGTGATGTTTTAAAGGAGATAATAGCCCGTTGGACTTCCGATGACAAAGCAACAATTATTGTATTTATGATGCCGTCCCTAATTGTGAACTACTGACCAGAGGGAATGCAGCCCAGTCAGCAGCACTTCGCCATCCATGCCAAGGAATTGAATACTACTCTTATAACGCATCCACAGTTTTAAGTGGAGGAAACATTTTGTAGTAAGCACGGTTTCGAACCTGGATTCCCAGATCCGAAATCTAGAGCTCTCCCACAGGACTAACTTGCGCTTGTCAATTAGTGATGCAATACCGAAAGCAGATTTGTTTAAAGCCAATTTCAAAAGTCTTCAAACATTTTCACAAAGTTTAAACGTTTTTCGAGATTACATCCATTTTAGAAAATGTGTTTTTGTGATATACTAGCAGAAAAACAATGTGTATGATTAATTCCCTCTTCGAAGATAAAATATCTATCGGATCTGTGCAAAACAGTATTGCTGTACAATAGAAACGACAATTGTGACGTTCAGTGTCCTGTTTTACAAACTGAATATATCTCCTTCCTATCGCGAAAAAATAGGCTTAACTTAAAAAACATTTTACTGCAAGAAACTTGAATTATAATCTTTTATTAGACATTTGGCGTCTCCACACAAAATAATTGTCTCCTCCTTTATCTGAATATCCGAAATGTTCGCGAAGTATGACGATTAGAAAGCAAATAGCCATCTAGACTAACATTTCGTATTAATGAGACATTTTTTTTTTATCTTTTTTGAAATTTGATTGTTTTTCAGAGCAAAACTGTACAATAGGCTTATCTGCCTGGCGCAAAGATGGAAATCGAATTTTTACCGTTATAAGACCTCAAGCTTACCACTGACACACCGGGTGGGCTTTTTTCCAGAAATATTTGTTGTGGAAAATAGGAGTTCAGATATACTGTAAATCATTTTTTTAATTCACTAATAAATATACATACGAGAACATTGTAAACCAACTATATAAGATGAAACCTTGTTTATAATATTAAAGTATTGTTTAGAAAACAAAATTCATTTTTAAATTACAGTTTCACATTAAGCTATCTTTGACACTGAGTACCATCTTGTTGCTAGAGTGTATATGTATTAATCAGTTGATACTTATTACTGTATTGTTACTACAGTGTATTAGTGTTACTTAATTCAGACTTTTTTATTGTTACTACAGTGTATTAGTGTTACTAAATTCAGACTTTTTTTATTGTTACTACAGTGTATTAGTGTTACTTAATTGAGACTTTTTTATTGTTACTACAGTGTATCAGTTAACGAATAGTTTTATTTTCACTATAGTGCATCATTATTAACTAATTAACACTAATTATTTTATTGTTACTAGTGTAGAAGTGTTAACTAATTAACACTAATTATTTTATTGTTACTAGTGTAGAAGTGTTAACTAATTAACACTAATTATTTTATTGTTACTAGTGTAGAAGTGTTAACTAATTAACACTGATTATTTTATCGCTGCTACAGTGTAGCATTGTTAAGTAATTGTTACCGATTGTTTTATTGTTACTACAGTGTGTCGGTATTAACTGTTTGTGTCATTTCTATTACCGTATATCTATATTTACTACTTTACAAGACCTCGCGCCATTTCTAGAACAAAATATTTGATGTCGCAGTTCAGTACAATATCTTGAGACTTATACTGTAGTTGAGCGTACATTTCAGGTGGAATTGTTTTTAAAAAGATATAATTTTATTTCTGTTTCTCTGGTATAAAGATAATGCTGCCTTTTCAGTTCCGTTGTTATGAGAACAGTTTCTACTTCTAGCTTCCATCTATGACCAACAGCAGGCTACCACCTACCTTACCAAAACCAAAACCGACGGCTCAAGGAAACCCTGTATGCATCTCCCAACCCTTCTCGAGGACAGATGTGAACCCTCCTCTTCTGCACCAGTCTTCTTCCTCTCGCGAGGGGGTTCAATCATCGACTAGTCCCAGACGTAATGGTTCCTCGGATGGTCATCAAATTGTATCAGTACGAGAAACCAACATGCCGACTTCAACAGCTATCATTTCTACTATGAAACCTTCTCCTCCACCAAAACCTCCCATCCCGGTGAAGCCCGTGCCCCCACCTCGACAAACCCATCACCTTGCTGAAAATGGATCTTCTTCTGAAAGAGGTTATGCAGAAACATCCTTAGATTCAGTGGACTCGGCCTTATCCATTCTAAAAGGTCATGGAAACCAGACTAGCAAGCGCACCAACGGATTGAGGTACTACCAGAATTTTGTAATGAGTTTTTTTGTTTTTTTTCATCATTATAAGAAAATATTCATAAAGAAAGACTTCCATCTGGATATGAAAAGGAACTTGAAACCACACAAATAAATGTTAAATAGACTTACTTGCGTTAGGCCTACTTTACACTTTGTTATATGTTTTCATGTGGCTATGATGAAACCATTTGGATGTCATTCTTAAAAAGGGATGATCGATGCATACATGTTTGAGACTACTTAATTTCATTCATAAATTTATTATTATAAACTTATATATGTAATTTTAGTAATTACCACAATTTCTTGTAAAATCTTTTATTGAAGCATTATGAACATTTTCTTTCGCTAAGTTTCAAATATGTAAATGTACCATGCACACATAAATACATTAATTTTTATGTACAAAACGCATTTAATTACATATCTGTTTTGCTTTCACAGCTACAGAGAACGTCTACTGTATTATCGAATTGTAATGAGGTAAAGTGATTTGTTTTTGGTTCGCTAGACGGAGCTCATGTTTATCCTCCAAATGTCGAATTCTAACAACTAACGGTCTCAACCCTCTAATGAAAATGAAGTTTTTCTGTGTGTATTTCAACTTATGTTTCAATATTTTTGTATAACTATCTAATTTTTGTCTACGTTTGGTCTGTGGGTTCTGTTGAACCACAGAATATAGAAGTCAGCAGCATGATAAACGAATAAGTCAAACATACTAACTGTTTACAAAGCTGTAACGTTTGACAGGAAAAAGAATGAAATATGCACGTTTCATGTTTTTGATATTTCATATTAGATGTTGGTATTATATGCTAAAGTGAAACGCTTTTGGACGGTTAGTCTTATAACTTTAGCATGTACTAATTGTTTAGAATTAACTAGACAGGAAATAAGTAAACCTCAAATTTTCACTCATTTATCTGAAAGTTACCTTCTGGTCAAAAGGAACATTATTTTCTGCACGAACGCCATCTGTTGAATTGCCGAAAACTAATATTTTTTAAAGTTTAGTATTAAGAGATGCGAAACAATTAAACCTTTTATATATCCATAATTTTATATGTAATTATTTATTTTAAGTCGTTTGCTTGGTATTAGTAATATGTTTTTGTTTATTAGGTGTCGGTTTTTGGTATACTCAGTATATTTAGTTGTTTTTAAAATGTTTTGTCATTTAGAGTTGAGCTATTAGACTTAACGGTTTTTCACCAAACGAAACCTGCATATAAAGAACATCAATAATACAGTCGCTAAGCGTAATAAAATAGTAACACTAATTTCTTTTAATATTATATACGCGTATCCACAAAACTGATTTCAGTCTTTTTATTCATATCAAGGTAAAAATTGTTATAGGTGCAAATTGGCTGGCTTTGACAGTGATTTATTAAAATATTTTGTCGGTGAGAATTGTCAATCGATATATAATTTTCTCCTAAATCATAGAAAGTGGAGCAAAAATATTTTCAAATAGTCCAAGGAATGCGTTTATATATTCGTGCTGACGACAAAAAAAAAGTGTTATAAGTAACGTTTAAAGTAAGCCTCAGTCTTAATGGCCATTTGTTTTTAGTGTACGTCTGTTAGTTGCCACCAGTCAGCAATAATAAAACAAACTATTTCGAACTTTCTATACAGACGTACTTTGTGAATTCGTTATTCAAAACGAAAGTATGGAAGCTGTGCCTAATGACTGATTGAAAATGACTAAACTAAATGAAAAAGAGTATATAAAAACATGTGACATTGGTGATTTCCTAGGATCTGACGTCGCGTGAACCCAATAATTAGTTTAATGCCTTATTATAACATTGAAATATTGTATTGGTGCCTGCATCACTAAGTATGCTAAAGTTTAGTATTTCGTTACTAGAGAGAGCTAGTAGTGATCGACCCTTTACATAATACTTCCTTCAGTAGAAGACTTTTAAATTGTTCACAAAGAAGATAAATGTAAGTTCTAAAGGAGGTAAAAAAAAGTTAAGGTAAACATTAGTTATTTTAGTATTGTTAAAGTCAG